AGTTCACGTCCGCCTTATTTGTCCTGAATGGATTGCACATGCCCATGTTTATGTTCATTATTATTTCTCTTTCTTAAATATATCTCGTTTAGGAAATAAATTGTAAAACCTCTGTCATACTTTTGGCTTATCAGTTTAAATATTGCTGCTACTTAGCCTTGTTCATGTCTACATGGTCACTGCTGTCAATTATCTAATTTATATATTTAACTTTGCAGTAAGAATGAGTGGTGACATTTTTGGGGTGCTAATATCAATTTAACTTACGATAGCCTAATTTTGCATATATTTTGTGATGCCAAAACTAACGACCCTTTTTGCTATCATAGATTAGAGTTTCTGAGGCATTGTTGCTGACTTCATCCTGTCTTCCTGTATCGATAATACTCAGTAGCTATTTTATTTTAAGATATTACTGAAATCAATGTTTTGTAAATCAGTCGCACTATCATTTTTAAAATCAAAATTTGTGAGCAAGGTGACTTGTGATATATATTCTAATAACCTTGGTTTATCCTTTCATTACAACCAATGCTGATTACTTTCATTCTATTAAACCATTCTAGACCGCTGTTTTCTCCAGTGAAAAAGGCCTCCTTACTGAAGCTATGATGGAAGAGATATTACTGGCTGCAATACAGGCTAACCAACGTAAACAGATCTGGCGTCATCATCGTCTGCCCGGGTATATTAGCCCAGATGAGCCGAATCAAGGAGATAGCAGAATTCCTTTAGGCTTGACTAAAGCCGAAAAAACGGACGGCGAAAAGATTGTTAGTTCTGCGTAGCTAGTTGCTTCAGCATTTACAAGGATTTTGTCTCCAGGCCTAGCCTCCTACCTACTCTAAAAACCCATCTGCACAGTGTACATTATTTGGTTAACACATCGGTCTCTGTCTTATTTCCATTCGACAACCCTGATTATGGCTTCACTAGACATTAGCTTCCGAATTCTTTTAAATATGGTACATAGACAACATAGGAACGATTTTAATACTTTTTCACCTTCATTATTGCCTTTCTTGCCTTCCAAAGATCAGTGCACCTCACTAATGTTTTCATTAATTTCCTACGAAGACTCGTGTTAGCAGTGCTGAATTCGAATTAATTAGTAATCTCACCTTACTTGCTAGTTTGGGATGTATTGATTTATAATTTTGACAGCCTCGGGATAAGAGTTAGGTACTTTGGCATTTTGCTCTAGTGAAATGGCCTTCCATCACTTTACTGCTGTTGGCCTACTTTGATGCAACACCTCTGTCATTATAAACCGACTGTACAATGCTGCTGTTAATTCTATCCGATAGTTAAATTTATATCTCTATCTAGGCCCGAGTCATGAATCAGTTCAGTAATCACCCTACGCCTTGTCCTTGGTTGGTAAAGT